TCCTCCACCACCTCCCTTACCCATGGTGTCCCACAAGGTTCTGTGCTGGGACCTCTGCTCTTCCTCCTCCATCTGCTTCCTCTTCAGCACATCCTGAGCTCCTTCAAAGGAATCTCCTACCATATTTATGCAGATGACATCCAACTGTACATCTCCTTTAAGCCCCATAAGATGTCTAAGCTGCAGCTTTTACACACCTGCTTAGCCTCTATCAAAACCTGGATGGCTGGGAGCTTTCTACAGCTGAATGAAGAAAAGACTGAGATCCTCATCTGTGCCCCAGACAAGCTGGTTCCCAAAGTCAGAGACTCTCTTGGTCAGCTTTGATCCAGCTCTCACCCTGGATTTTCATGTCAGTTCACTTGTTCGCTCTTCCTTCTTCCATCTCAGGAACATTGCTAAGCTGAGTCCCATTCTGTCCCGCACTGAACTTGAGACAGTTATCCACACCTTCATCTCCTCACGCTTAGACTACTGTAACTCTATTTTCACGTGTCTGAGCAGAACCTCCCTGAACCGTCTATAGGTGGTTCAGAATGCCTGTGCTCGGCTTCTGACCAAGTCCTCCAAATACACCCACATCACCCCGCTTCTCCTCCAGCTTCACTGGCTGCCTGTGAACTCCAGGGTTCATTTCAAGATCCTGGTTCTGGTCTACAGGGCCTTACATGGACAAGCACCATCTTACATTGGTGATCTTCTTAGTCCCTACACCCCCAGCAGGTCCCTGAGGTCCAGTGATCAAAGCCTACTGGTTGTGCAGCACCAGGCTAAAGACCAAAGGTGACAGATCATCTGCTGCTGTGGCCCCCAGACTCTGGAACTTTCTCCCCCTGAGGCTGAGATCAGTGGACTCAGTGGTCTCTTTTAAAAAGCAGCTGAAGACTCACTTGTTCAAGCTGGCTTTTGTATGAGCTTCTTCACCACTCTCTCTTTATTCTGCTCTCCCCACCTATTCCACCTTCCTCAGGATCCACTGATTTCCCTCTATACTATTCACTCTCTCTTTCTTAACATTTTTTTAATCACCATTGCCTATTTTTGCTCATTTTAATATATTTTTAACAATTTTCTAAATTCTTTTTTATATTTTGTACATTTTTTGTTTTTGTGAAGCTGCTCGTGATTTTTATCTTGAGAGGCGCTATAGAAATGATATTTTCTTCTTATTCTTCTTCTTCTTCTATTTGTTCATTAATTTTACTGTTTTTGTTTGACTGCACTGAAGGAGCTGTTTTTAATCTATTGTACTTGTGTTTAGTGACAATAAAAGGTCTTCTATTTTATTCTATTCAAATGTACATAATTTCAGTAAGTAAATATTTATTAACGTTGATCTATTAGAGCCTGCTGTACATATTTTTCCTTTGCATAATCCACAGTCTGCTTTTGAATAGTTAAAATGTGTCCAAATCTTGCTGCCTGTCCTGTTTTACTCATGCCTCATCTTTTTGTAGTGCTGTCTGTTCGTCCTTTCTTCTCTTTTAGATTTCCCCACCATTATTTACAGCTCCCATCATTTAATGCATTAATTGTCTCCCAGGCATGTAGCGCATGACCCCCCCCCCCCATTGTAAAATGTTCTTGGTTGCTGCAGATTGTTACATTTGGTACACTTTGAGGCTTTGTTTCTTTCCTTTCTTTCTCTCTGGACACTTCCAGTCCACAACTCTCACACGAGAAAACTACACAGGAAATTGGAAAAAGAAATAGGCACAGATTGGGATTTCAAACTGGGTTTAAGGGTCATATAGAGATGAGTGAGCTGAAATGAGCACAGATATATTTTGGAGGATTTACTAGACCTAATGTGTAATCAGAAGGAAAAGCATGAGAGGATAAACCAAAAGCTCAGCAGGTGGTTATTACTGTGTTGGTTATAAATGTAAAAAAGGTGACAAAAAGTGCAGCCTAGCCTAAAGTTTGTAAGGATGTGTAGAAAGAAAATAAACAGGTGGCTAAAGACACAATAGAGGTGAGGAAAGAGCTGCTGTGTGGGATTAATCTGATTCAGCGGCAATGGACCATGAGATGTTCAGCAGACCTCACCAGAGTGATGGATCCTCGACATCAAAACAGTCTGGGTGATTAAACTTCTTAAACTGGAGCTGAATTTAGGGTTTGTATCTGAAGTGATTTGCACACTAATGAAAGGCTGTAGAGAAGTCTCCAGTGATGAAATCTCATGACATCAATATAACAAGTGCCAGAGTAGGAGCTGATGCTGTATGCCTCTGATAAATTCTCAGGTTAAACATGGAGGGTGGCTGCACTCACAATCAGATTAAATCTGACAACAGAAACAAAAGTTTAAGGGTGGGAAAGAGTGGAAATGTTGACCCTGACTCAAAAGGAAACATGAGTGAGAGATAAAAAGTAGCTTTGTTATTTCACACAGGTGGAGCGCAATATATTCAAGTTGTTTATTACCTGTTAGTGTTTCAGCTGGAGTTGCAATTGCTTTTAATTTTGCATCTTTATGTTTGAAAGCTCATCCAGATATAATAGATGTATTTTTAAGGATAGCATAAGTTAAAGGGACACAAAATCAGGAATACAAACAACAAAACATAAAATTCAAGATTTGCAAACACATTAAAGGTGCGGTTCAACGAAAAACATTTTTTATGATTATTTCTTATAATTAAGTTTTTCATGCAAGCTGAACATGAATATAGTCTCGTGCACCTATCTCCTGCATTAGCTTCTGATCAAAAAGAGAGGGTGAAACTCTTGAATTCGAAAATCCTCACAGATCTATGTCACACTGTTAATTAGCATTCATGGACTCACACAGTTTGACTCACCACGGAGAAGGCATTTGTTGTTTTTAACATCCAGGAATCTGCAGAAAACATCCTGGCTATAAGCTAACCATGATGGGAATAACAGTGTTACTAAAAAATATTTTTTCAGTAAAGAGTTATCTAATTAATTATCGTCTTCTTTTATCATAACGCCGTTTCCGTTACTGATAAGAAAATGCGTGTGTTACTAATTCAGCAGCGTGGTGTGTTGAAGCTGCCATCAGCTGATTGGGAGCTAAAGAGGCGCATGTTTTCATCCAAGTGCATCACGGCCCATGAAGAACAAGGAAGACGTGATGAATAGTCTACGGCTGCAGACCCGCAGATTCGCTGCTGCAGCCGTGCCCTTCTTGGCGTGACAGCGGAACGTCCCGAAGGTCCACTCATCTGTTCACCACTCAGACATCACGATCTTCTACCTTCCTAGATCATCCAACTGTAACCTGTTTCTGATCATGTCTTTAGTCCTGCTGTAACACTGATGCATCAGTCTCAGACGTCATGGAGCTCAGGTGTTATTAGAACTTCCTGTGCATCTTTACCACCCACCTTCAGCTCTTCTGTGTTTGGGTCTTACCCATGTTAGTACATTTAAGTCCTCCATCAGATTTGTGCCTCTTCTAGTGTCATTTTAAAGGATATTTGTTTGTTTATTTATTTCACCATTACTAGATTACCAGCAACAGAAATGCTACTAATAACACACAATTATGTGAAGCTGGAAAAATTAGAATGCTGTGCAAAATTACATTTATTTCAGGAATTTCACTATACTGAGAGACCATTTAAAGGCTCAGGAACCTTTACAGTTGTTTATATTTGCAATTATAATTTTGAGCTGATTGGGGTCTTGTTAAATATCACACAGTGACATTTTAATAGTCTTGATTAATGTAATGTTCCTGTTTGTAGTTCCTCCTGTTAAGTGCCCATCTGTTTCAATTATTCAGTTTGATAAAAAAAAACATTTTGACATACATTTTATTATGTTCCAGTCATTAGTCATTTATATTTCAGTATTGTAGTAATTTATAGTAAATTAAGTAAGTTTAATCAAGAGGGGAACCCATTTTTCATGCATTCTTTAGTGAAAAAAAAGGTAACAAAATGTTTATTTTTCTTGGTGATTAGTTACTTTTAGTTACTTTTTGGACAACGACGTGATCAGTAACTATACCTAATTACTTTTTAAAAGTAACTTTCCCAACACTGACCATTAGCATTAGCAACCCCACCACACAGCAGAAGCTCCTCCAGGCTTGTGCTATCTGTAGAGACAAAACATCCACGTTGGATAACAACAACGCGACTCTACCATAACGTGGTAGTTTGTTTGTCCCAGTGTCCCTGTGATATCTTGTGGCCTGTCCAGGGTGTACTTTGCTAATGACTGCTGGGGAAAGACTGCTCCCTTTGACCCTAGTGAGGAAAAGCAGTCAAGATCATAGGTGAGTAATTTTTAACAAATATTTCAAAACATTTCTGAACCCAAATCTAACCATATTTTCATATTTTTCTGTCCCAATCATGGTTGCCATTAGCAACAGCTGGTAGATGGAAAATTAGGGTCATAACTCTACAGGCAGCAAACATGCTCAATGCAGAACATCATCAAACACATTATCCACAGAAAAAAATTCATTATACCAGCCACAGGAGAGCCCAGTGCTAAGCAATTCTGAGCAATTTAGTCTCGATGTGGCCATTTGAAAAATTGTACTGTGATTATTTGTTTTAAGATAAATGTTTTAAAACAACATGAATACATCAGTTTTGATGAAAAGTTTATCTCACTGCACAGGTACTCTAATGATTGCTGCAGACACTTGCATATTTATATCCTTAGAAAAAGCCAATAAATACTGCAGTCTATTTATTTGGAAGAAGACCAAGTAGTACTATTTGTTTTTAGAAGCATAAGAAAAACAATGGGCGTATTCCCTTGAATGGTGTGGAATGATGATAGAGGCTACACACAAATTTAAAACATAAAAAAGAAAAGATTGCAACATAGACACAACCTATTTTCAATTAACCTACAAATAAACCAAAGAAAATAATAACTGTATTTAATGTACCCAGATTTTCTAAAAAAAAAAAAAAAAAAAAAAAAAAAAAAAAAAAACCTTTCTTTGAGTGAGTAAGAAGTACACTTTGACCAATGGAGCGGAAACAGAACAGTACGACATTTGTTCCTACCCGGATCATTTCATAGGGTAACGCGCCGGCAGTGGTCGTTTGTCAGTGCCTGAACGACTCAGAATTAATTTACCTGTTTTGTTTTAGTTCTTGATCTCTGTACACATTACGTAAGTGTTTTGTTCTTTTAAAACCAATTGATGTGAAACTGAAGCTATTATTTTCCCTCCAGGGGAGCCTAAATTTAGACTTTTATTACACGAAGACCGACTAGCTAAGCTAAGCTACTGTTAGCATAAAGAGTGGAAGATCAAACGTTGTCCAACAAAGAAAATGTGTAAATAAAGGGCAACGACCGAATATTTGGAATTGTATTTTGTTTGTTAATATGTCAATGTTGATCATTTGGATAAAACTCACATAAATAACGGCGATTAAGGATTCGAATGCAGTGGAAAAATACACTGCATGAACGAATTAGATAACTTTGCTAACATCGTTAGCCTTTCCAATATATTTGAAATGTTCGTTTGTATTTTGCTTTAAATAATAGTCTTTTTGGGATGTTTAATGTTGGAGTGGTAGTTTTTAAGCTTTAATTCTGTCTTTTTCCCTAGTTGTCACCATACATCCAGATTAAAGTAGTCACCCACACGTTGCGTTATCAGTACTTAGTCCTGGGACCTTCTAAGGTTTTGTTGTTGCGTTTGTGTTGTCTTTTCTTTTGCTAAATCAAAAGCGCATGCGATCTGCTGATTGTGTCAATAAATAGTATCAATACTGTTAAGAAGTAGCTTTTGCTGCTACGATTAGCTGCAAATACTCGTTTATTTTGTTTGTCTGACCCAAATTAAAAAGAGACTGAGCTGGAGGTTTTTTTTCTTCTTTCCACCATTGTTGGAAATCAATGTTAAAAAGTCTGAAACTTTTTAGCTGTTCTAAAAGTTAAAACATGTAGAAAAGCAGTAGTGATGCACCGATATGACATTTTTGGGCTGATACCGATATCTGATATTGAGCTCACTGTTATGGCTGATAACTGATATTTGCCGGTACAGATATGCTGACATTAAAGCTGAATTTACATTATGTACACGCAACACACACATTTATGGGTCTGAGATTATTTCATTCACTGTTCACATGACTAAACAATTACACATCACCCCCCTCACCCTCTGAAACAGGCGAACAAATGGAGACGAGATGGAAAAAATATCGGCCTGGTTTTATTTATCGAGCCGATATGTTAAAAATTGACCAACATCGGCCGATACAGATATTGATGCTGATATATTGTTCATCCCTAGAAAGCAGCATTTTAAAAAGCTTTACCTGCTCAGTATGTGCCTTATACAACATCATACAGGCTAATGTGTGTATGGAGTTCTGACACAATGTAGTAAAAACAAGTGATGCTTTTTGCATCCCAGCATGAATTACGTACAGCATGCACACATTATCTTTTTAAGAATAACAGTACATCTTCATCTGGACACTGATGAAACCCCAAGTTTATTTTAAAACTTAAAGGACTTCTTTCCCTGGTGAATCAAACAAGATTGACCTTTACAAACAACATTGTACAAGAACAACGTCTAATGAATCAGCCTAATATTCTAGAAAATGTAGAATTTTTTTATATAAATGATTTTAAAGAACATCACGGGTGATGTTTTTCTATCCTTTCCCCATCCAGAGTCTTTGAGTGAAAATGACGGACCGATACAACATCCACAGTCAGCTGGAACATCTTCAATCAAAGTACATCGGCACAGGACATGCTGATACCAGCAAGTGGGAATGGCTGGTCAACCAACATCGTGACTCATATTGCTCCTACATGGGACACTTTGACCTGCTAAACTACTTCTCCGTGGCTGAGAATGAGAGCAAGGCCCGCGTTCGCTTCAATTTGATGGAGAAGATGCTTCAGCCATGTGGGCCCCCAGCAGACAAGCCCGATGATGCTTAAATAACTCCAGAGTGAGCTTTTGTCCCTGGAAATTCTTTTTTCTACCATTAAATCCTGTTTGACCCTATCAACAATAATTGGATCATCCATTTATAGTAGTTTTGTTTGCATATGGACAGCACTGAGGCAAAACAAATTATTTCAAGATCTCAATGTTTACAAGAACGGTAAATGTGTCTAAGTGATGCACAATTATCTGTGAAGAGATTGAAGAGATTGATGATTACAATGTGCCCATGATAAGTTTTGCTTATTCATTAAAATTTGACCTTTTTCTACAATCTTATTTATTTTACAGCCAGCTATTCATCTATTCTTTCACAACACTTTTATTTGTCATCATTTGGATTGAATGTGATTTGGGTTTATTTGAATAAACATTCATAGGTGGCAGGTAGCCTTTTGAAGCCTTTTACTCTGAAATGCTGGTGTTTTTCAGCTACACCCAATACTTTTCTGCAATATTAAGAAAAAAAAGAGAATTTAATGCAGATAATCTTTATTTTATTATAGTTGTAGCAAAATGCTTTTACTCAACTACAACAATAACTGATGCACTGTGGTTCAAATGCTGAAACTGCTTATTTGCAGTAGGAAATTTCACGGAAGAAAATTATCTGAAAAATCAGTGGGTGAAATTTAGAAAAGTCCACCAAAAGGTGGTTGAAGAAAAAAAATAACGGTGTTAAAAACAACAGAACACAGGTTTATGATGTTATTAAAAATTGCCAAAAGACTGCTTTCAAAACCAGCCGACCTGCTTTTTCAAGACAAAACTGGGAACTGCTGACACACAAAAAGCTAGAATTTTTAAATTAAATTGCCTCAGAAACACAAATGTGACAGCTGTGTGCATGAAAAACCGCTAAATCCTGCTTTAAACAATTCACCTTCTTTGGTAACTTAAACTCCCTCTTATTAAACACAACTTTAATCAATAGTTTATGAAATCCATTGATAAGAAAATCAATTTACAAGCACAACGTATGGAGGTCTGTTACTGCCATTGAGAAAAAAGTTCAGAAATTAAGTCATAAGTATGTTTTTATTACCAAAAATATGAATCAGGTTAAAGAAAAGAAAAGCAGTATAAATTCCTTAAATAAGATCAAAGTCACAGGTTTGTGATTCTACATAATAGTATGTAAAGACAATTACAACATATTGTGATGTCATAGTTGACTTTAAAATTTACATCGAGTGAGTCATGAAATCATAAATTAGACTTGAAAAGTAAAATGGAAGCAAACTAATTATTATGAAAAGCAAACTCATGAAATTAAAAGTCCTGACTTGAAAAAAGTGAAATATGACTTTGTAAATATACAACTCACTTTAAATTCATAATAATGAGTTAGAAAGTCACAATCTTGATGCTATCAGAGTACTTTTCCAGTGGCTGAACTGGGCTCCAATGTCAAAGATTGATGTAATCATAAAAATCCAGGAATACGACTGACATTCAGGCGCTTAATAACGAGCTGTCAGCACCGTTACAAACTGAGCTGCATCAGGAAATGCTGAGATTTTGTGAAATGTGCACAAATATTATTCTGCATTTAAGGCTCAAAAAGTGCTAATAACCCCTTGTTTTAAGTTAAAGCTTAGTAAATGTTCACCAACAGTTCAACATTTGTTCAGCCAGTCAGATTCAAGAAAGTGCTGTCCACCTACACAACCTCTCACACACACACCGGTCGGCAGCTGCCCACCCACTGGGTTCACACAGATCAGTGTGCGTGACTTCACATCATCATTCTGGTTTTATTTAGCAGAGATGCCAGATTATTTCAGAGCTTGTTTTCCATTCGCAAATGTCAAAATGTTTTTTAGCTAACAGTTATGTCTGTAAGTGCAGATTACCACTTCAAGCGGTAATAAGACTTAGATAGCAGCTCAGAGGGACTTTGGTGTATTTCTAATCAGCAGCTTTGATCTGCAAGGCAGCTTAAATAAGCCGCAGCCTGTGACACGACTATCTAACGTCAGCTGCTTCAGGCTGAGAAAAGAAGAGTGGTTGTTTGAAGGTGGAGGTGTGGCGTATGACTTGAAAATAGCAGCAGGTGTTGTTTATGTGACTTGCTGACTCGAGGAGGTCGATCATAACAAGTTGCTGTCCAAATTTATACAGAAATGCTGACAGATTTAGGAAAATCTGCCATGTATGATGAATCATTGTTGAATTGAGAGGCAAGTCAGTGGGTGCTGAGGAAGTTCTCATGTAGTGTGTGTGTGTGTGTGTGTGTGTGTGTGTGTGTGTGTGTGTGTGTGTGTGTGTGTGTGTGTGTGTGTGTGTGTGTGTGGACCTAGTGAGGGAAGTCTTTGCCATCTGTTAGACAGTATAGTCAATGTTGCCAAGTCAGGTGTGAAACCAGCCAGTGTCCTCTCTCTCTCTCTCTCTCTCTCTCTCTCTCTCTCTCTCTCTCTCTCTCTCTCTCTCTCTCTCTCTCTCTCTCTCTCTCTCTCTCTCTCTCTCTCTCTCCTCTCTCTCTCTCTCTCTCTCTCTCACACACGCACACACACACACACACACTTCTTGTCAGTAATATCTATTAGTTTTTTACTGTTTGAAATCGGTGCAACATTGGGAAATGATCGTCCGCATCATAGACTTGTACTCATTTTCATGAAATTATTGAAGAAAACAAAAAACAAAAAAATATTCTCAATAATTTTTAACGATGTGTTTAAACAGAACAGATAACATAACCCTCCACCCACCCGCTACATTAGATCAAACTTAAAAACACAACAGACATAAAACAGGTGTCAAAATGGCACTAAATCAAAATACAATAATGAGTTCATGAAATAAATAAAAGAAACAGTCACAAAACATAAAATTGTCCACAGACACACCATTAAAATTTGACAAAGTACAACCACAGTGAATAAAAATTTTTGAGCCCCTTAAAGTGTTCCTGATTTTCTTCAGGTGTATATGGAGCATCATCTCTGCAACCCAGTGGCTGCACTGGCTGGTGACAATCCTTTTAATTGGAAAGAATGAGTCTTTTAGCCACCAAACCACAAGCTACAATCCTTTGTAGATGGCATGTGACGAAAGGAGCATCCACAACGATGACACCCTATGGCAGGGCTAATCATTTCCGGGCCTTGAGGGCTGGTATCCAGAACGTTTTGGTTTTAACCCTGCTTCAACACACCTGATTTCATTCAGCAGGTGATTAGTAGGCTTCTGCAGAGCCTGATGAGCTGCTGCACAAGTGATTCAACCACTGATTCAAGTGAGTTGGACCAGAGAAACCACTAAAACATGCTGGATAATGGCCCTCTAGGCCTGGGATTGAATAAGCCCTGCCCGTTATGGAGCCTAAGTCATGCCCATCTACTTATGGACCGTGGGTCCCTGGAAGAATGATGAAATAAATGCAAGTCAGTGAGGCTTAAATGCTATTTTCTAATCCAATTTGTTATGGATTTCACATATGATGTCCGTGAAGATGCCTTCTGATGCCAAGAAGGTGCTTAATTTTGAACAAGGGCAAAAGTAATTTTAGGTTTTGTGTGAAAAATATGTCCAGGACTACAAATGTGCACTAACAAGGTGACACCATCGAACCAGACGCGAAAAAATGCAGAGAAAAAAATGGCTGTAAGTTTAACTGACTTCGAATCCTTTGTCCAGGAGGCAAGAACCACCACAAATCAGGCCATGTGGTGAGTAGCAGCTATGCTAGGGAAGAGGAGGCTCTTTCATATTTGTACGTCTGATTTGTAGTCATGCTAAAATATGAACTTCTATAAGCAGATAAATCTCAAAGTATGTGACAGGCGTGGTCGAAACACACACCAGTACTTTCATTTAAATAGAACATATGTGCGATTCAGGGCGACCACGTTCCTTTATAACTGTCAGAATTGTAATTGGGGCTGTTGGCGAGTCCAGTTCATGGCTAATTACCCACTAAGCTCATGTTCTTTGTAGAAATGTCCCTGATGAAAACACCTTGGTGTGAAGAACAACATGATATAAATACAGGTGCTGGCCAGTAAATTAGAATATCATCAAAAGGTTGAAGATATTTCAGTAATTCCATTCAAAACGTGAAACTTGTACATTATATTCATGCAATGCACACAGACCAATGTATTTCCAATGTTCATTACATTTAAATTTGATATTCATAAGTGACAACTAATGAAAACTCCAAATTTGGTATCTCAAAAAATTAGAATATTCTGAAAAGGCTGAATATAGAAGACACCTGCTGCCACTCTAATCAGCTGATTTACTCAAAACACCTGCAAAGGCCTTTAAAAGGTCCCTCAGTCTTGTTTTGAAGGCACCACAATCATGGGGAAGACTTCTGACTTAACAGCTGTCCAAAAGACAATCATTGACACCTTGCACAAGGAGGGCAAGACACAAAAGGTGATTGCTAAAGAAGCTGGCTGTTCGCAGAGCTCTGTGTCCAAGCACATTAACAGACAGGCGAAGGGACGGAAAAAATGTGGTAGAAAAAAGTGTACAAGCTCTAGGGATAACCGCACCCTGCAGAGAATTGTGACGACAAACCCATTCAAAAATGTGGGGGAGATCCACAAAGAGTGGACTGCAGCTGGAGTCAGCGCTTCAAGAACCACCACGAGGAGACTCATGAAAGACATGGGATTCAGGTGTCGCATTCCGTGTGTCAAGCCACTCTTGAACAAGAAACAGCGCAAGAAGCGTCTCGCCTGGGCCAAGGACAAAAAGGACTGGACTGATGCTGAGTGGTCCAAAGTTATGTTTTCTGATGAAAGCAAGTTCTGCATTTCCTTTGGAAATCAAGGACCCAGAGTCTGGAGGAAGAGCGGAGAAGCACAGAATCCACGTTGCATGAGGTCCAGTGTAAAGTTTCCACCGTCAGTGATGGTGTGGGGTGCCATGTCATCTGCCGGTGTTGGCCCACTCTGTTTCCTGAGGTCCAGGGTCAATGCAGCCGTCTACCAGGAAGTTTTAGAGCACTTCATGCTTCCTGCTGCTGACCAACTTTATGGGGATGCAGACTTCACCTTTCAACAGGACTTGGCACCTGCACACAGTGCCAAAACCACCAGCACCTGGTTCAAGGACCATGGTATCCCTGTCCTTGATTGGCCCGCAAACTCGCCTGACCTTAACCCCATAGAAAATCTATGGGGTATTGTGAAGCGGAGGATGCAATACGCTAGACCCAACAATGCAGAGGAGCTGAAGACGACTATCAGAGCAACCTGGGCTCTCATAACACCTGAGCAGTGCCACAGACTGATCGAGTCCATGCCACGCCGCATTACTGC